TCTCTCTAGCCTCCCCGCGGGAGGCTATTCCCGCTCGCGACACGTGATTCGCGGCCGACACCCGGCGTGTCGGTCCGCCGCGAAAGAATTTCCCGGTGTAGGCCAAAAGACGCCCGCTCGAACAACGGCGCCCGGGGCGTCCGTTCTACGCTCCCCTCTGAGGTCGCACTACCCGAGACCCGCCCGCTACGGTCGCCCGATAAGCCCACGGCCGTTCCCCGGGAGCTCCCGCGCTTGGCACCGCCGATCCGCTCGCGACACGAAATGGCCGGCTCCGACTCCCCCTTGGAGCGGACGCCCGATAGCCCGAAACACTAAACGAACGCGGCGCGATGCCAGAACACGAGCTAACCCCCTCGGATGCACGCGGCTTTTACATTGGTCTTTATCCCTCGAGGGCCACCTCACCGGTATGCTCCTTGGGTCCCACGGCGCGGTCCCGGTCGGCACTCGTCTCCTCGATCTCAGCCACGGGCTCGGCACTCAGGTCACCGGCTCGGCACGCGCTCTCCGACGCGACGTTATCAGAACGAGGATCCGCGAACGAAAGCGGAAGATCCGGCGCGAGCGGGTCGATCACCCGATCGCTCGTTACGATCGCGAAAAGGGGCTGCGCGAGATAGCGGCGCCGCTGATCCGCCAATCAGGGGGTCGCTCACCCGGCGTGTCGCCGGGTCCGCAGGGGCGCGATCGCTGTCCGCGCGCTTCCGGGCGCGAAATTCGCCCCGCGTGGCTCGCAGGGCCGGGGCGGTCGATCCGGGGCCCGCTCTCCGGCGCGTTGGTCCTCCGGCTCCGCCGATCCTTCTGACCTTCCGGGGACCTCCGCCCGTGCTCGCCCCTCGGTTCACTGTCCGGCTGGCGCCTCGTCTCTCGCCCCTTAGGTGCGACTCCGCGTACTCGGGCCCCAGGCTCCAGGACGGCTCGGCCCCTCGGCGGTCATCGTTCGTCGGCGCCTCTCGCCCGCGCCCCTCGACTCGCCCCGCTCTCCGTCTGGCCTCTCGGCTTCCCCGCGGCCGCAGCTCGCTGGTGTCCTCGCACTCTCGCCCCTTGTCTCTATCTCTCCTCTCGCCTCTCGGTCACACCGTCCGTTAGTCCCCTCGCTGATCAGGTCGGCTCGGTGACGCCCGATGGGCGTGATACAAAAATTAAAAAAAATTCTCGGGTAAGCGGGCAAGTAAAAAAAAGGTGTGGTTGCGACCCCGAGAGGTTTCCCTACGGCCTCGCGCGGATCCTCTTTTCCCGGGCGGACCGACACCGCGCCTTGGGACGGCAGCGGGGAGCTGGCACGCGGCAGCTACTCCGCCACGTCACAGTATTTAATCATCGGAACTATTTAAAATATTGACATAGAACTCTAGAACTATTCAAAAGAATGCCAGAACTCTTAAGAAACTGTTTGATTTTTAGGTATGGTGTGCCGAGTTCACACCACCCGGGTTTTACTGGCTACGAAATATTTCAAGAATATTTAAGACGCTTCGGAAATATAAGAATTGACTGTAAACAAGCCTTAGTGCGCACTCAGTGCGCACTAGTGCAAGCAACCGAATTCGCTATAAGAAATAAAAGTCCGCGGTTAGGATCCATAATTTTACCGCGCTAATAGTAACTGCACTGCAAAAATTGACAGTGTAATAAACTTTGCACTCCTTCAGTTTATTTTGCGTATCCGAATACAAAGTCAGTGCTACACTAGGTTAGTGTAACACTCATCGAACATTGTTCAAAAACAACTATGAACGTTCCGTCCAGAGCGAGTGGGAACGCGAAAGAGTTAAATTCAAAAAGAGCGGGCGGCCTACAACACTCTAGCCGCTAGGGGCCTTGGCCTCGAACCGGGCGCTCTCGCTCTTTCTCTCTCTTTTCCGTACTCTTTCTCTCTCTTCTATGAGTTTCGAGGCGCGGCCACTGATGCAATCCCGTCAGTATTGTCTTGATCATCCGATGTTACGGATGTGCTTTCGGTACCGAAAAAAATCTACGTATCAAACTCTATTCAGTGACAATTCGAGACGTGCCACTCATAACGTGCGATCAAAACAACTTTGTGGATTCCTGAGAGACAAGATCTCGTCTATGCGGCGTGGATCTAAGGCCATCGGTTTCACCACCACCGGACAACGGCACCGATCCACACACCAGGGCGTGCCTTCAATCCGGACGACGTGCGGACATCCTCCCCGTCAAGATAAGTAATCGTATCGGCTCGGGTGTTGCCTCACACCGCAAAGCACTGTCGGATCGGGGACCGTCGACCTAGAACGACAGGACTTTTTTTTAATTAAGTCCCCGTCCTCTGGTTCGGTCCGACGAATATCTCGAGGCGCATCCTGTGGTATTACCTCTCAGAGCCGTGCGGACTTTTATCGAACCTGGCAAGGGTTCACTATTTCCCGCTCGCTATCCGAGCTCGCCCAGTCATGTATCCCATGCGTGTATCCGCGCAACGTGCGTCTGTCTCTCTTTAGTTCGCGTATATCCGAGTAAA